AAAGTTTAACGGGGATATGCGTGTGTGTGTGTGTCTTTTATTGAGGACTAGCTAGTCAGGTGTGGTCTTAAACACTCTCTCAATTTTTCTTCTTAGTTTGTGATCTGGTTTCCTGTGATTTGCCTCCTGCCCCTGTCTGTGAGTTTGGCCTGCAGCTTGCTCTGACCAACCCTGGAGAATGCAGACCAAATTACACATGTGGTAAGACGTTTTTTTTTTTTTTTTTTTTTTTTTTTAGCAGGGAGTGACACTGGAACATTGCATTTGACCAGCACCGACAACTTCCTTTAGACATTATTTTTTCCCTTCAAACGGTTTAATTTTGGAGCCAATGGACATGTAATGATTGCACAGACTTGGAGGAAGGGTATTGTTGGCACTCTCAGCATAGACTTTTGAATTAAGAAAAAGAGAAACACTTTACTCTTAGACGTGTATACTCTGACCCTTATGCTTATTTTATAAATCTTTTTAATTGTATACGAGACAAATTTTTTGGCAGGGTAGGAACTTTTCCTGAATCTGCAGTACAATCTTCGACCTGGGTCTTTTATATTTGCATTATTTCTTAATCTTTAAATAGATTTATAACAGTTTGCAGTAGCAGTTAGTGCCTTGCTGCCAGAGAACTGTCTTGTTCACTCGTAGCACTCAGAAATGCTGTGTGCTTGACATGGTATTTACCTTTTTCCACTAGCATGTAACAGAGAAGCATGCAGATTAGTTCAAAGACCTTCCTGCCCACCGCATCGAGAGCTGACTGTTAAGACGACTGAGTGCTGCGATAAATACGAGTGTACCTGCAGCTGTACAAACTCAACAGTGAGCTGCCCTCTGGGATATCTCTCCAGATCTCTCACCAATGACTGTGGCTGCGTATCAACCACCTGTGTTCCAGGCAGGGTAAGGCGAATGAAATGTCATTTCCACAGACAAGAGTATTTTTTTATACATGGAGTGACAGCACCAGAGTAAGTGGGTAGCTAGGTATTAACAACCCCCCAACGAGACTACTGGATAATGATGCCATTTTTAATTTACATATGTCTGAGGGAAATACACTGTTGCTTGTTTTATTAGAGTCATTTATTCTGACATAACCAACCCATTTTTTGTGACTTTGAGCTAATCAGATTATATATATACACATATAGATACAAACCAAGAAACATTTGAAACTTCAAGGTCATTCAAACATTAAGAATTTCAGAGGTAATTTTAAAATTTTTAATTTGTTTCTGGATAACAGAGGTACATGGTTTTGGATCAGGACAGTTACTATATATTCTTTCAATCTATACTGACTTTATTGAAATATTTGGGTCACCTTAGACCCGAACTCCTTGTGCCTGTTGGTTAACTTTGCCCCTGCCTGAGGAGGCATTGTGTCTTATATGAACTATATTGCCGCTTTTGCATTTTTGCCAAATTGATATTTAACTCTGTTAAAGCTTTGTCAGGATATATTTTTCCTTGTTTTCACAACCTTTCCTGAAGTTATTATACTATGTTCATGTTTAACATAAGGTTGCTTAGAGGAGAGGTTGCAGGGCAATGTAACCTTTTCATTGAAGCAACCTTACCTAACAGCTTAACATAGGATTACACTGTCTTGCAATTTAGGAGATCTAGCCTTTATTTTCTTTTGCTAAGTAGTTCCTGACCTTGCATAAGTCATTTTATGTCTCTCTGACTTACTTGCTGTATCTATAAAAATAAATGATGTTAATCTCTTTAATAACACGCCGTAAAATTTATTAATAGAGAGTGCAATATAAGAGATGGCTCTACTTTTTGTAGTAGTTGTGATGGCCTAAGGATACAAGTGAATGAATCCTTGTAACATAAAGCAGGATCTTTTCAGACCAGCTGTTTTAGTGGGAAGAAGTTTTGCATTCATGGCTCCTTCTATAGGACTCACTGTTTATTATCTCTAAATATTGGGTCACATTATGCTTCTGGGTAAATTGATTCAGACCCCAGGCAATTCCACCGACTGCAGAAAAAATTCTCAAATTTATTCTTTATAAAACAGCAGCTTCAGTTGCACTTATTTTCCTTTCCTTAACAGAGTGGCCACAATTTTAAAACATGTAGCATTTCTACTGGGTTTAAAATATTCCATAAAATCTATGGTAGGTTTCTCGTCTTAAAAACCAGCCTTTTGGAGCCAACAGTATGTCCCTAAAGCAGCAGCGTGCTCTTTCATGTATTAATTGTTGCATTCAATAGGTGTGTGTGCACAACAACATAGTCTACCCTGTTGGGACAGCCTGGGAAGATGGTTGCAGGGAATGCTCTTGCACTAGTATGAGGGATGATGTTACAGGACTTCAGATGATGGAGTGTCACGACAAAGCATGTAACACGTTCTGCTCTCGGGTGAGTAACATTTAAACCAGTGCATTAGCCAGCAGACCCTGATGGGGATCTGAAATGATTACTTTAAACCTGTGTGTTTAGAGAAACCAGAGAAAAATAGAAAATAAGTGTTGTAGCAACGAATTATCTTGGGAACAGAGTCTAAGAGGCTCTGAGTATTACTGGCTTTATTTTAAGGTTATTGTTTTAGAATCATATCCTGCTGCCAAGAAAATCAGTGACAAGTTTATTTTATATTTCAATAACAGGAGAAGTGCATTCTGAAGTGTCTATCATTTACACCACTTGCACAATAAGTACTCATGATGTCTGAAGTTCAGTTTCAAATGAGTGTTTTAGCTGAAGTTCACTTTCTGAAAAGAACATTTTAGATCTGTCTACCGCTCAGGTCTGCCCATTATAGCAGGAATAACATCACATGCTGTGGTCTTTATTATGCTCAGACATCTGCTACGTGCTATAAAATTATGTGGTTTACTTTTGGAAGCCTGCAAAGGAAGCATAAGCTGCTTTGTTCTATTGACACAGCTTGTCAAGCAGGAGGAGACAGATACTTGGTACAGAGTTGGTAGAAGAATTCTAGAAGGGTCAAAGGAATTGGTTAAAAGTCAGCAGCACTTGCCAGTGTCATAGATTAGAAGACTTTGACCATAACATGATTTGTGCAAACATAAGTTCAAAATGATTTTTATACTTCCTTTAAACTACACAATTTACATCCCTCACATTCCTCACCTTAATATAATGTGGTGAATAAGGAAGTAAAAAATCACTGTAAAATTAAATGTGACGCCCTAGAGTTGCATTTTGCTCTGGTACCTAGCACATTGTACCCATAATCTCTGAGTATTCCCACGTCCTTTCTTCATGTAGTTAGTATGGATGAGTCAGTCAGTGGGGACAGCAGAAATACACAGCTTGGCTCTGCAGAAAAAGCAGATAGCAGAAGAGGTTGTCCAGCCCAGCCAAGTGCTGACAACCCACACCCCTTTCCAACCGCCATGTGGCCAGAGAAGCTGTGCTGCAAACATCAGAGGCTACTACAAATATATTTTGCCTCTTTATAAAGCTTTCAGTATATACATGGATTCATTGAGATTTTTCTTGATGGTATTAGCCAATTCCATTCAGGACATCTGACTTGAAGCAGCTCCTCCTTAGTCTGTGAGTTCACAATCTGCAATTTCAGTAGGCTGGGAGGGGTCCACAACTAGATGTGGCTCTGAGATTCAGAATGTTCTCTGCAGGTCTTTTGTTGACCCAGGGTTTTTCCCCATGGGTTTGTTCTTCTCTGAACTGTGAAGCAAAGCCCAGAAGAAGCTAATTTGGTTTTTTTTCCACCTCAGTGCAGAAGCAAAGATTGTCTAGTTAATGCTACTCAAATCTCCCAGCTGCTTTTTAAATGTTTATGTTAGGCTATATATTGCATTAACCTGCACACAATTCAAACAGTTGACCAAGCACAGAGTGTTTCCAAATGAGTGCTGTAACATCAGTGCTTTCAGTGGTCCAGTAGCTGATAAAAGTCTGCATGTTGACTGCCCTGGTGCCACTGCAGGTGACCAGCTGGAAATGCAAAGGAGGGCACGCTACAGCCATAACTGCAAAACCCTTTAGCTAAGAGGGACAGGTGCCGCTTCTGTGTTTGATTCACTGTGCTGACTGGGATACTACTCTGATGTTCTGGGTTTTCTAGCGCTGCACGTGAGACAAGATTGACTTGGGTTTTTTTTCTGCTCTAGGAGTAGGTTTTTCTCTTGCTGGAAATACAGTGAATCTCCAAACAAATATGTTATGCACATTCCTCTCCTTCACCAAGTCTCCCAAATCTTTGCAGCCTGTTTCCCACTGTTCTTCCTAAACCTTTTAACTGATTTTAAGAAGTCTGCCTTTTTTTTTTTTTTTTGAATGAGTCCCATTTATGCAGTTGCATTCAGAACAGAGGCTAAGAAAAATCAACACATGGTGTCTCTTCTTCCTCCTTGCTTATGTTTAGCTACATTTGGAAGAAAGCTTTTCATTAGAAAACCTTATATATACAGCTATGAGAAGTTAGAGATGTTCTTTTTTTCCTTTCAGAAAGACATCATTAATTGTCTGGGAGTCAAAGACTGTCCTTGGCCATTGAGCATATGTATGCAGCACCTCACAGCTGAGTTAACATTATTGTAGAAACCCTGCGTTGCCTGATTTGTTTTGATTCTCATTTACATTTACACTAATATATATTTTAAAGCAGTTAATCATGGATTGAAATTTGACTGTGAATGTTTCGGTTAAGCAAACCAATATCTGAAAAGCAATTATCTATTCTGAACTCTATTAAGCTAATTGTGCCTTGGTTTTAAAATAATTTCACATGCCTTAATATCACTATATTTCAATATCATTTAACTTACAGACTCAGAACAAGGCTATATATGTATATGCACTTGAGAAGGTGTGAACAAAATATAAACTTTTCTTGAATAATATTTACTCTGCTGTGTCTTAAACACTGCGTAATTCCCTAGGACCAGAGCAAAAAACCAATCCATTAAAAAACCCCAACAAGCCAAACTACTGCTCTTTCTGCAAGTGTAGAGTTTGGTGAGAAAGCTTGATGATGCCCAATGCAGTGAAAACCATGAGAGCAGATGTGAGAGCTTTCAGCTGTTGCAAAAGAATCCCTTTGATTTCCATTTGTAGAAGAAACATTTTTTCTAATATGACAATTAATATGAAATATTAGATCTAAAGTATCTGGCTGTGTTTTGGCTCACAGCCATAACTTTATCAATAACTTGTTATTCTAATAAAGTATCATTAATGCAGAGCTACCTTTTCTTGACAAATCAGACATAAGCATTGCAGTGTCAAAAAGCTCTTTTAAAAAAAACCAAAAAACCTTGGTGGAAACCATTCCAGTTCTTTCTGTGAATCTTCCATTTCTTCTGCTCCTTTAAAGGTTATCAAACTTGTACAACCAAAACTTGTAGCTGAGAACCTAGATAGCTCAGAATTTCTTTTTTTCTTTTGCTTATTTCTATCAAGAAGTTCTGTAATCCAGATTGAATTGGCCTTAGGGTTTATTTTTCAGTTCAGGTTAGATGACACTGAAAGTTGTGTTGACATGAAAGACATACTTTAATCGTGGATTAAAGGTGATGTTCAAACTCTCATGGTTGTTAATTCTGGTGCCACGTCTTAAAGTTGTGCAGTAACATTGTCGACAGTGTCACCCGACTTCTGTGAAAACAGCTTACAGTTTTTAATCCAGCTACACAAAAAGAGGAAAAAAACCCACAACACATGTATTAGGGCTCCTTCACTGTGATGTGCTACTGTTCTGAGCATGACAATACCAAACTCAAACCATATCTGTAGTTTTAGAATGTAAAGAAATGCTATGGAAAAAGTGGATGTATCATTTAAATGAACTAATCCCACAGTTCTCTGAGGAGGTTAAAGCAAATACAGACTTCTCACTTGCAAACCACATGTGGGTTTGCTGCATTATATGTCATAGTCCCCTCACTTTTTCTGTCCTCTTCTATCTTTATCCTGCCAGAATTTTGAGAAAGCAAGCAGATAACTGCTGCAATTATTGCATGTGCCACAAGGAGGAGTGGTGCCTCCTTCCTGGAGCATCAAAGATTATTTCTCTGAGAGTACATCAGACTACATCCCTTCAGAGAATCTTGGTGATAAAATGGATAACAGCTTTCAAAACACATTAAAATCACTAGTATACTAATGTGAAGGGAGCAATTGCTTTGCTTAATTTCTGTCAACGTTCTTTGAGTTTGGTACTTTGTAAGTGATATGAAACAATGTGACTTGAAGTATTGGATAGTTTAAAGTATTAGATCATTATGAGAAGAATGAAGCATAATTTTCTAGGATAAGTGTTTAAGACAAAGCCATTTGGCTAAGTGTGTGTAAATTAATTAGGTTAGGTTTTCAAGCCTCTTGATTAACTACATTAAAATAAAGAACATTAGCACCCTATGTACAAAGGCATAGTGAATGATGGTTGTAACAGAAGCTGACTACAAAAGCTATGACTTCAGTCTTCAATATTTCAAATTGATATTTTCCTTTGAAGTAGCATGTAAAGCATGATAGTAAGTGGCTTAATAGTGTACATTAAGGATGTCAAAGAAACTATTGTAAAAGGAAGACTGCTGTTTGAATATTAGATGTGCAGGGTTTAATTTTAAAACTATGAAAATCTTGTTGACAGGTAATTTCAAACATCCTGCTTGCATTTTAAAGCATAATCTATTATGGAAATTAGGAAATAATACCTTAATGTTCTAGAGACTTGCAAACAGAGAATTAAGTCCTCACCTGGGGTAAATGAGTGCAGCTCCAGGGAAATCTCTAGAATTGTGCTGATTCACCGCCACTGAAGATTTTGCTTTAAGCATTTCAAGTTGATTTATATCCATCCTACTGGGTTTTTCTCAGTCTACTCTTGCCATTTTAATTCTCTTTAGTTCCTCCAACCCTCTCTAGGTATTATAATCTCAATATGTTAAAGACAAATACTGGACTGTTCTTAAAAATATTACATTGAGGAATAATCTGTGTTCTTTCTTTCCTGCTTTGTTGGCCAAAAGGCAGCTGACAGAGCCAAAACCTTAGCACGCCTGAAAGGATGAACTGTGTATCCTGAGCAGCACTAGAACAAAAGAGGGAGTGCACAAATATGTCAATCCATAGCGTGTGTGGATCCTTCTGGTAGCCTTGAGTAGGCAATGAAACCAAAATGTGCATTCTCTGAATGCTACAGAATTAATCTGCATTCCTCTTTTGTTTGTTGCAAGCCAAACTCTGGTTCAAATGCGTGAAAAATTTACCCCCCATGTAGAATGTCTTAATCCCTATGCTTTCACCCTCCATGCCTGAGATCAGCTTTATCTCCACAGTTGTGTTTGATAAAACAGCCTGATCTGGCAGCATGACTGAGCATTTGTCAGGTTCCCCATCACAGCTGCTGATTATCACTTCCAAGTCAGCCACGTGCACCTGTTCAAGTGAGATGGGTGCCTTGCATTGCGTTATCCCTTACCTCCCAGGGCATGGGGATTTTTTTAGTCCTGTAGACTGTGATCTGCCTCTCATTGTGACAGACGGTCAGACACCTACCGAGTGCTTCTTCTGAATTTTAATTCCCTGTCTAAAGTTTGAACTCTGTGGTTAAATAAAAAATAAATAAAAAAAAAAAAAAGACAAGATGCGGAGGAGGAATAAAGCAATGGATCCAGTCCGGAAGAAACATGGGACAAGCAGAATATTGACTATAAGTGTATCCTTGGCAAACACTGGCATATCTATATGCTAGTGTCTATATGCTAGAAAATGAAAAATAATGAAGGAAGAGATGTATACTGCTCACTCTGCCTAGTTCAGTCTAATATTAACCTTCAACAGCGAAGTAGCTGAGACTTGTCAGATGTTCACACGCATAAAGTGTGCAGCTCAGTTGTAGCAGATACTCTTTGTACATAAGTCATCTAACTGGAAAAAAATCAAAATAACCCCACAATAAAAAAAAAATCAAAATGCACAATACATTTTCCTTTTCTTGGATGTAACCTTAAACATTACCATCTTTAGAATTAAACATAAAATAAAGCTTTCTTCATTCCTATAGGCCCACATTTCCATCATGTGTGGTACAAAAGGTAGGGTTTTCTGGTGGTGAAATATTTCCCACGCTGTGGAGGATCTGTCAGAGCAGGGAACCACTGTCCCCCTTACTCATCAAGTACAGATGGATGCTCTGCTTTTTGAGCAGCTTGTAGACTGCTGCAGTCTGCAGGTTTCACTTCTGAGACACATTTGTAGTCTATGGTGGTTCAGGGGCTGTGTTAGGAGAAGCTCAGCAGGTGTTCAGCTGGGGATCTGTGATCTCCTGTGTTTCTTACCCTTAGGAGTCAGAGCCCCCAGATTTTGAGCACACCAAGCGGGCCACTCAAGCAGGTTGAACTACCCAGACCCAACACCTTTGTCAGTGCCTTGTGGCTGCAAATCACCCCTGGAGTCTGTTGCATTGCACCTTCTTGTTTGCACTTTAGAGGGCTCTGTTCATACCTACTTAGTGAAATTTGGGTCCTGCAACTGTATTTTGCTTTATTCTGGGCACAAACAGCTCATGGATTTTTATTTCTCTGAGTTTGCCACACAAATAAAAAGTTGTATCTGGTACTTCAGATCCTTCAGCCATGTATTTAGCAGATGAAAGTCTTATAAAACAAGATGCTCAACAGCACAACTTTTTCCACAAAGCCAGATCAGACTCTGGTATTACATTTTATGACATTACACACTTCCACATAAAAGTCTGCTGATTATTGAGGTTTGCTAATGTGCTTCATATTGCAAATCAAGGACAGTTCATGAAGGAAAGGAGCAGTTGCGAATACTTCAGCAATTCAGTTCAGAGGAATTGACCAAAATAAAATTATGCTTATTTTCATTGTCATTTTTCGCATGAACAATACTTTTTTTTGACAGAGCATCCTTTCCTTCAACTCTGTGCATTTTGCCCTTTGGAGACTGCCTAGCTATTAAATATAGATTAAATTATTTCTAATTAGTTTAAAGCTCCTTCCTTTCTTTCACTTATATACTCCAATGTTTGAATATTTGTCTAGTTGCTTCAGGAGATCAAACGATGAAATGATCAGTCCAAACTGGTCCCTGGACTGCATGTCTGACCAACCCCTTCCCTCTGCTTCAGCACAGGGCAGTCAGATGTCTGAATGAGCTCAGATTGAATCAGAGGTGATTTAATGTAGTGATTTTTTTCTTAAACTGGATTCTTAACATTCACATATAGTTTTCTCTCGATTTACCAAATAGCATGGCAATTCTGACAATCACCCTTAGGAGTGGACTTATTTCTCTCTCCTTTTGCACTCCTTTGTAGGGCCATACTATTGGAAAGACTTGCTCTTTACAATTTGCTAATGCATAAAAGAAACTGCTCACATACAATAAACATTTGGAAATGACTGCTGCTTAATGCTGTTCAAATAGCTCAGAGTTCTATGAAAGCATTTTTCTTTCACCTCTTCCCTTTCCATTTCTGCCTGTTTATGTCATTGTTCTTTTCTGTCTTGTGGCAAATCTTTGTGCTATCATATATTTAAGCAAATCCTAGACAAAGGAAGATGTTTCTGGGTGATTTCAGATTAAATCCTTTTTTTTTTTTTTTTTAATGTTAGGCTCCATCAACATTTTCTGTTCTACAAAAAGGGGTGCTCCATACCACACCAGAGAAGCTGATATCCTCATAAGGCACATTTTGGCATGACCTGAGCAAGGATAATACCTAGAGTTAGTCCATGTCACTATAGTGAATGTGTCTTCAAAATATATGTTAAGCAGGAACTAAGGAGATAAGAATTTCTGCTCCTAATGTTGTGTGTATTTTAATTTATTTTTTCTGAGAGATAATGTTAACCATTTAACAGGATGCTGAGCTTGGTGGACCACTTGTTTGTTTTGTAATAGCAATGTGTGGCCTTACATTTCTGTTTTCAAATCCTCTTTCCATGAAAAGTTGCTAACGTTAAACTTCTATCCCAGTGTTTTCTTTTAGGATCAATCTTCTCATTTGTCTCCTATTCCTGGATCAGTCAGTCATTTTCTTTTCTCCTACAGGGTTACAAGTATATTGTCCAAGAAGGGGAGTGTTGTGGGAGATGCCAGAAGACTGCCTGTGAGGAACAGCTGTTCTGGTCTCGAGGTGATGCAGATCCTCGTTTGCATGAGGTGAGGTGGTGATGGCATGGATGCTTCCTCTTTAGGAAAAGTACCCTGGAATTATTTTGTCTTCCATGAAAAGAGGTGAAGAAGATAAGAGCTATTTCTTCTATACATCAAGCAGCGCTGAAAAACAATGGGTTTTGGGCATGTGACTTACTCAGTTCTAACAAACAAAGCCTCCCCACCCTTTTTGGGCTCTAAGGAAGCAATATTTTTGTGTAAAATGAGTAATTTCACAAATGGTAGCTCAAAAGAATGTTAATGGGACATGATGCTTCTCTGGCTGTAGGCTATTTGTTTAAATTATTCCAATTAATTTGTATTAATCTCTGGATAGCAAGCAGATGGGGTAGTGGGTTGCTTGAATTCAATTCAAATAGGATAATCCTATTTGGTACACACTGAAATATCAGGAAGTAAATGAGGGTAGAAACATGAATTATACTCTGGTTGCTGAAGATGACTGGTGCATGGCAGATCAGACCACAGTGGTCCAGGCCACACTCATTTTTTGCTCAAAATAACAGTTTATTTTTAGCAGTGTGCCTCTTTCCTTAGGATTCAAAGAGCCAGAGGGGGAGTGAGTACCACTCTGGAAAGCTACATTGATATTTGTTTCATTTATTTCCTACATTTTTAATTCCTTCAGGCTATTCAGTTTGTTCTGTCCCTAACCCAACCGCCCTTGGCAAGCCTTTGCCTGCCCCAGTAGCATTAAATTGCTTAATCCTATGCAGAGCTTTGGATTCAACAAAGGCAGGAACAGTGAGTTAAATATGTTTAAAATAATAGACTTTCTCTGCATCTTTTCTTCCCTAAGTGTTGTTCTTTATAATGTGTCTGGATTTTCATGTATATCTCATGTCCACAAATTTAATATTAACTTTTTAATTGCTTCTTTTACAAAGGCTGTCTGCTGCTCTCTTTTAAAAAATATTAATGTATAATTTTGCAGCCTGCCTCTTCCCTGGTTTTACCAAGGACATTTCTTAATGTTGATCAATATTCTTCTCTGCTTCATAAAACAAGCCTTCAGAAGATAATGTCCCACTGTGTCTTACTGACTCTGTTGTCCTAATGGAGTAATAGATCCTTATACTCTGCTGCTTCTTGCTGTGTCCTCTTAACTCCTTCGTTATTAACAAAGAACTAAGTATTTAACACGCGAGAACAGTGTCCCCTAACTTTCTGAGCAAAGATGTTTGAATTTACTGGAGCTGGGGATCTGATTTTCACTTTCACTGTATTTAAAGAGTGTTAACAGAGGAGGCATGCAGCTTCGAAGCAGTGATCAGCTCCTCCCAGCACTGAGCTGTGACAGCATTTCTGGCCTGTGGTGATGGCTCTTCCCATAATAGCACTTGAAGTTCCCATCTTGTGTGACCCTTGGGTGATTATGGGGTAGGACTGTCAGCAGGATCCAATCTCTTCTATGTTTGCAAGTATTTTCAGGTCTGGAGCCTATTGCCAAAGCCTCCTTTGGGCTTAATAGAGCTGATTTGCAGGAGTTTCCAGCAGAAAGAGGGTCAGCTGGGCTACAGTGCAATGCAACACAGCCAGCTACTGGGTAACAAATGTAGATTTCAATCTAGTTAAGAGTGCTTTTTCTTCTTCACGTGTTATTTCACCTGCCACTTTGTTTTTCACCTTAAGTATACTCTACAAACCAAGCCACAAACTGTTCTACAAGCTGATTGTTGTGGTAAGGATTTGTAGAGAACTGCTGAGTGACCGACAGACTGTTCCTAACGCAGTAAACATGTTTTTTTGCAAAACAGCATGTTGGCTGTGGTGGGTGGTTTTCCCTCTATTCAGTGGCACAAATACTGCTCCCTGTATTTAATCCTTTTACAATTTCCCATCAGGTTGGCACAGAGTGGCGATCGCCCTTCAACCATTGCATTATCAATGAGTGTGTCCAGGTGAACAATGAGGTTTTTGTGCAGCAAAAGAATCTTTCTTGCTCTCCAATGGATGTTCCTGACTGTCCAGAAGGAACTGAACTACGCTGTGACCAAATAATAGACTGCTGTCCTTCCTGCAGATGTGGTAAGATTTTATGTATGACAAATGGAATCACTAGAGAATGAATCATCTCATGTGTTGATCTCCTGCTTCTCAACAGCAATTTCAGAAGTGCATGTTATGCAAGTATAGTACTACTTTGAAACTCTCCTGTATAATTTAGACATTGAGTAATAGCACCTGCTGATATTACTTTCTCTTTCCGACTGGTGTTCACTGTCTCCTCTTGAGCTGCTTACTGTTGAATCTATTTTGCATTGCTTCAGAGAGACATACCGGGTTATGTTTCTACAGCTTTAGCCTGCATTTTTAAGCATTTACAAGAGGTCTTAAGATGCTTTTGGCCTACGAAGTTTCAACGCTCTCCCCAGTGCCTGCTATGAACAGGGAGTTTGCAGGCAGCCATGCTGTCTTCTGCATGTCTCTGAGCATTGTGGCTGTGGCCATTTCCTAGCATAGGCTTGGGTCAAAAGTCCAAATCAGCAGATTTGGTAATTAGAATCAGTCTGGGAAAGACTCCCAGTCATGTTTAATTGGCAAGTATATATGCAACCACAGGGTGAGGAGCTAGCAGTGGGAGGAGGAGGGGAAATACGCGCTGTAACTTGCAGAAAACTGAGTGCATCTTCTGAGAGTGTGAGGCTTGAACTGGAGAGGAAAATTTATATTTTCCTATGTACATGTTAAAAAATCAGCTCAGCAAGAGACACTTGGAGGTGGAATTCAGGATAACTCTGACAAATCGCTGCCTTTCAAGGTATAATGTAAGAGGACTCAATTATGCCTCTTTACAGTGAAACTGGATCTAAGTGTCCTCAGTTGGAACTCTATTAAGTCAAAAAACATACCCGTGGTTTATTAAATCTTGGTAATGTCATGATAATGGTAATGCTAAATGGAGTATTATCTTCTTTTTTCAGTACCCCTGAATGGTTGTCCTTTGAATGGCACTGTTATTGGGGTAAGGCATGATTCCTTTATTTGCTACCATGGTAAGACTTTTAGATATACGAATGAGCTTTTGACGAACACAAACTTGCCAAAATACACATAAGCACACAGGGCAGCTTTGTTCAGACAAAACCTCTGCAAGTGAGACCTTTGGGTAAAAGCAGTGGCAAGGGGCTCAGCACATGTGTGTCCAGTTTGTGACCGTGCCACAGTCTTCCTACATGACAATGAGTATCTCTGCAAAATGGGGACAGTAAGGTTTCCTTATCTTGAAAGGATGCTTGAGGAAAGCGCTTAGAAACTGTGGTAATCTGCATTGTGTAATGACTTGCAGGCTACCAAATACACAGGAAACTATCTGTGGGGGATAATCTCAAAAATGATCCTTGCCCACTTTGGGGAAGCAAAAACTTCCTGTATTCTACCTAGAGGATAAGGCAGATTAAAAAAGGATGGAGACTCTTGCTCCACCTGTGTGGAAGGAGGGGTACCCCTCCTTGGCTATTAGCAGGAACAGGAAAGCTGAGCTTCCTCACAGTTTGACCTCTGTTCCCTTTCAAGATCCCTGCTGATACACCCTCAGAGGAAATTTTTTCTCAACTTCATATTTAATGGATAGATTGAGACATATTTAACCCAGCCCATGACAGTGGGAATGATGGGAGTTAAGCATCTGATGTCATTTATGCCGAATTTATCTTTGGAGAGCTCTGTCAATTGTCCATTGTTTCCCTAAATCCACATTCTGGCAGCACCTCTGGTGTTAGAGCTCTAAATATTCTCATCATCCCCCAGGGAAACAGGTCCTCTTTAGTCATTTAACCTAACTTTTAACCTGCATATTCCTGCATTGTCAATGTATGCCTTTCATTTATTTAAAAGGTAAGTTTACCCAAATCTCTTTGGACTTTTGAGGTATGTCAGAGAGAACCTTTCTCCATCTATTTCTTCTGGTTTTTATTTTTTTCATAGTCAATAGGTATAAGTTTATCAGTTTGTTAGAGGTAAAGCCTGTCATCAAGCATCCATCATCATTTGTGGGGATTACTTCCCTGTAGAATTAAATCTGAGGAATAACTCTGCCTTTCTTGTCAGAACACTGTGAGAATGGTTTTAAAGTGGTAAAATCTGAAATAATCTGCTTTCTCTTTGATTCCTCTATCTGTCTTCTCTATAGAATGTTGTCAAAACTAGTTATGGCATTTTATAAAGACTATACTTGTAGAGTATGTGATGCAGTATAGTAATTGGTAGCTCCTGCCACCTGCTGTTATACAGGATATGTGTACATATATATATTTTGTGTTGCAAAAAGGAAGTGTTTCTCTAATTGCTTGCTGTCCTTTCATGAACAACTGATTGTTTTCTCTTCCAACAAGATCTTTACCTGATCAGTCAAGTTTTTGTTTTATTTCCAAGTGTTTTAAAGTATTTTAAAATACTGTAAAATGCAGCATAAACAAATTTTGAAACAAAATGTGTTGAAGGCAAAATCAGAAGTATCTATATTCTGAAGACTTAAAATGTTTCAGCTTCTACACTACTGAAAAAAATTCCTATCTTAATAAATTTTTCCCCATTTGGAATGAATTCGTAAAGTGTTTCAGCTGACACAAAACTACATTTTGACTTATTCTTATTTGCTATCTGGCTGTATATAAAAGCTCACTTTAAAATGTTTTTCTTTTTTTTTTTTCTTTTAATACAGCTTTTAAAATGTGTTATTGTTCTTCCTGACAATTCATCATTTTATCAAACACTGCCTGTGCAACATTTTGAGGGTGTAGGTAGGCCCCAGCTGTTACATTACTTCTGTGCTCTTGCTGTCACAAATGTCAAGCATTACTGAAGTTAGCATTCAACAACACAGTTACCAAAATATTTTCTCAGGATGCAGAGTGTGAAATTTAAGTTGAGATATCATCTTGGAAGGCTGTTAAACAAAGTGGCCATTTTGATTAAAAATAAATAAATAAATTAGAGCTTATATTATAACTTGTCTTAAATTAATGAACTTTCCAATTAAACTAGCTTCATTTAATGACTTATTGTAAGCTAATCAGCTATATGTCTGGAAGCTTTCGAGCAGCTGGTGTTACTACAGCTTTGTCTTACACTGTTCTCTACTTCAATGACTGTTCCAGAGTTCTGGTCAGGAAGGAAGATGTGGTGTCCACTGAAGTTTATACTTCCTGGATTTCAAAACCTTTATTCTGGGTCCTTTAAGAATAGGTTGCAAGTTTCACTTTTTATCAAGGGAAAACTTTGCTGCATTAACTCATTTGACTGAATAGTTCCAAGTTTTGAGTCTTTTACTGCAGTTCTGTTAACTGGCTGCCCTTAATCCCTATACGTTTTTGTCTTGTATCTGGTTACCAATATTATATTACAGTAATTTGGTGTGTTGCATTCACTCTGCTGTTCTTAACAATGCAGTGGGCTTTAACTGCAGACTTCCAAGCAGGTGGCTGTATTTACCAAAAGGATTATCTGTATCACTCATCTGTTTTCCCAGGCTTTTACTGAGTGGCATTTTTGAAGGAGATCTGAGTAAGGTTTGAGCTTTATGTGGGTTATTTTGGTTGTGCTAACACTGGGTTAGCAGATGTTGACATTTCATTCTAAGTTAGCCAAGAAAACACATGATAGGTGTATAATATAAAGGGAAAAACTTGTATCAATCCATTATTTAATTCAATTCTGTCATGCTAAGCTATGTTTGTTCACAGAAAGCCATTGTAAAGCCATTTGCATGCTGATCCCTAAATACAGTAAATAAATATCATAGAACTAAGCTGTGATGCAAGCTTTGGATCAAGGTGAGACCTTCCCCTAAAAGTTCAAGGCACTTGTATGTGAGGATTTCGTTTCAACATGTCTCTAGTAAGCCCTATGTTCCTGCCTGTTACAGTGATTTTAGTATAAACTCAACTTTATCTGTCTTTTTTGCATTTAATTGGAATGTTAGAGCAATTAGCAGATCCAGTGAGGATACCAATTGTAACATCATTTGTGGCTTTATAGGCCCGTTCTTCATAATGGGAAAGCCTAGAGCTACTGAGGCATTCTGTGATAACCCTTTACTTCTAAAGGACCTGAATTAAGTATGATTATGACAATAAACAGAACAAACCCAAATACATTTTGAAACAAGTCAACGTGATGAGGACATCTCCCAGATTTGCAGGGCCTTTGAGCGGACATGTGCATACATGTGTGAAGCTACTAACCAGTAGAGCAGTACTAGTGTCTGTGGATTGAATGCCCTTGTGAGGCTGTGTAGTCTATGCTAGAGCTATCACTTTAGTGCCTGAATGCTTTCCAGTGTTGAGAGTAAACAAGAAGTCTGGAGTTTCATATGACATCTGCTGTCCTACCCTCTCCCATAGAAAAACGTTATGAGTGTGTCCTCATGCCTGTATCCACTGAGGTCTTTTAACCCTCCAGATTAATCGCTCAAAATTCACTATAAAAGGTTAAACCAAGAAAGCTTAAGAGTCCCACATCGACATCTCAAGATGAGTTGTTAAAAGACAGGGGTCTCCACATTGGTATTACCACTTCCATCATGTTGTATGTGGAGGATCATTTTTCTACACCTCCACCAAACAAGAAATAAGTCATTGCTATTTCTGGTGTTTTATAGCAAACCACTGAGGCCTGTACTGGGATGCAGAGTAAGAATGTAATTAAAATTCTTTAATTCGAACATTTGTCATTCAGTGCGTATGTCAGAGTACTGGCTCTGAACTAGCCATAAACACGCTACCTTCACACTGTTACTCTGGCCAGCTTCTTCATTTGCTCCATTTGTTCCAGGAGTGTTTGCTAGTGTGGAACAAGAAAAAAAGGAATTTGAGAATGTGCATAGTATGTAGCATGGGAAATTCTGGGTCCAAATGAAGTCAGCAGTGACATTCCATCGACTTTTGAAGCACAACTCAAAGCTTTTATAATCTACCAATATTCAGTGTCTGTTAACCTTATTTATTAGGTTTTAGAAGTTCTCTGTGAAAATCTTGAATAGACTCCTCCCATTTTCTCTCTTGAACCATAGCACTTTGTTATTTTGGGGCTGCAATGAAAGGCTGTGCACTTGGGAGGCAGAAAGACTTTGTATTTAGAATTCCTTTCAGTGCTAGGAATCCAGTTATTAACCCCACATCCTTTTGTTTCCCATTTAATAATTTGGCATTTTTTTCCTCTACATTTTAGATGTCATTTTTGCTTGCTTTAAAAGGTAATGGGATCCAGCAAACAAGGTGCTTGGGAGGTGCTCAGGGAATTTAAACTGTATGCCGGCTCAGCCACCAGTTTGCTTGTAACTATGGACATGTCCAGCTCTTTGCTCAGTAATTTATTTTCTGTTTTTATTTTTCTTTCTCCTGTCTCAATTTTAAGCTTTTAGGCCTCAAGAGATTCTAAGCAGTATTATTACAAGAAAAATAACAAGTAATTTCTGCTCATGATCTGTGGGTTGTGATGGCTCAAGAATAAAAACTTGCTGGCAAACCAATTTACTACGTTTGGGAAAAATGAACTGGGGACAACCATCTAACTTGTAGTCAGGATAGCTCATGACAAAATCTTCCTCATCACTTTCAAGGACTCCTTTCTTTCTTGCTAGCTTTGTAAGCAATGAAGTAAGAAATGCCAATGCCATTTCACAGATTAAGGAGTCCTAAAGGGCTTACTTGAAAAATAGCCTCATGCTATGTTGCTTGTTGTGGAATTACAGATGGAAAAAGTTGGATCTCTGGAAAGTGGAGCCACCATTTTTCTGTTTTCTCTTGGAAAGAATTACAATGCAAGATTTAATGAAAGAGAATTAACCTAGATAAAATTGCTCATTTATTTGAGTTTTGTTGAAGAGACAGTCACTGACTTACAAACTGGTTCTAATGTTTCAGCCTTGGAGGCGCCTGATGGTGGATCAATGCACAACATGTCTCTGCTCCTTCCAGTCAACATCTTCTCGGAGATATACCCTGACGTGTACAAAATTAAGCTGTGAACCATGCCCAATAGTAAGTGAAAGTGGTGTGGATGTTCTTGTTAAGAATGTGCCTGATGAGAAGGTCATGTTCTTTGTTGTATACATCAGTTTAGGTTCTGTACAACTCTGAGACCTGTTGCCTTTGTTCAAGTTTTTCTGAGATGTCATGGCCCTGTGTTCTTCTTTCACTGAATTAGATGAAATATACCAAATGTGATCTAAAGCCACAGTGTAGGAAAGGTAACTTTTCATAGTACTCAGTTGCACAGGCATATTTTTATTTTGTCTTTTAGACTACTTACCCTTAGGGCAAAATAAGGTTTAGCAAATCATTTGCAATAGGAACTGCTGTGTCTCCTTCTCTACAATAATATCTGTCCCTCCAGGGACCGGCAACTCAGGCAGATCTCCATGATTCAGGACTTTCCTATGACTATTCAAAATCGTCTAATAGCTGGGTGCAATAATATTTCTGTCTGGTTCCCATCCCTAGGTGATTGTCCCCATCAGTTCCACTGGCCTTTTTGAAGTCTTTGCTCCTTCTTTGCTGGTGTCATCTGCAAGGAATGAGCTTGGCTGTGAAAGCCAGAGGCAAATAGCTCCCATTTTCACTCCACTGACCAACAGTGTGACCAGAGGGCCTGACTAGGTCTGCTCAATCATATACACTGACAGAGTCCCTGCAAAAGAGAGGGGCAGAGTTTTGGATTAATTCTGTTTTCAATCCCTAAATAGAACTGGAAAGGACAAGGTAGTAAGTCAAGTTTCAGTGGTTTCATCTGTACTAATAAACTAAACAGAGCAAGACTTGCAGGCTCAAATTATGTCCTGCAACCACTTACCTTGAAGAATTGTCAGCAGTGTCCCAGATGGCCTGTTCTCACTAGCAAACTTCCAGATAATGCTGGGCACAGGTCAGTGGTTAGGACAACCCAAGGCCAGCCTGTTTTCGGGGCAGAATGCAGTTCAGATGTACATATGTGTTCCACTTGTCTGCAGGGCCAGAAAACTGGCCTTGACCCACTGTATTTGCTGTTAGGGAGGTAGCCTGTGACAACAGGGAGAACCTGGAGTACTTTATGTAGTTCTGAACCCTAATATCACCCCTCCTGTAAGGTATGATTATAGACACAGGCTTCTGAAAGGAAAATAAACGGCCAACCTCAGTGCTGAGCATCTTCTTCACTTCCACAAAATATAACCTGTCAGATCAATGAAAAAAGCCCAGATACACTAGAATGAATCTGTGGCCAGAAACATGTGTGCATATGCACATTCCCACAAAAAATACACAAACATCAGTTCTCTCTTTTCAATGCAAGAAGGCAGCTGTAGAAATTAAAGGTAGAGGAACCACTAAAATACATGGTAAAAAAAATGGGGAAGCATTCCTCTCCTGCTTCTTTCACCACCCACACAATTCCCAAACAGCTCCTTTTCCCCACCTGACCCCAAAATACAGACTGAACCCAAAAACCCAGAAGAAAGGGCAATTTCCAGTTGGGCTTATTAAGCACTATGAACTTGTGTTTAGGAGATGTGCATCTACCCAAGGGAGGTTGCAGGTCTAGGTGTATGTGTCCCTTTGTAGCTGTTGTAATGAATCTGTCAAGCTTGAGGGGAAAAAAAATATCAAATAAGATGGAGAATGTCTTCATTCCCATAAGGCCAGTGGGATTCATGCACATACTTGGGATCTTTCCTGTCTCAGTCATTGGTTTCATGGTATACTCAGATTAAGAGCATTTCCTTCATAATGAACAAAATCATGGGTTAAGAGTACATGCTCTTTCAGGAGCACCTGCTTTCTACTAGATGCTGTAAATGCACTGGTAACTGATGTGCAGCCAACTCCAGCATATTCTGCTCATCAAGGTCATTTTTTGGGTCGTTTTATGACCTACTTTAGGTGCTTAGATTTTTGCCAGTAGAGCAAGTTCACCTAAATAACAATGAACTATGTTTTCTTCCAATGATTTAATAGTAAACCCCCACCCTCCCGAAATTATTTTTCTGTATAAAACATGTGGATAACATGCCTTCACTCAACCAGAAAGTGTTTGTTGCCTTAAGAATGTTTAGCTCATCATATGCAGCTGTTGGTTATGTGTAGCAGCTGGAGACATTGCTGTGGGACACTTCATGTGTTAACTCAGTTCCTTTGTGTTGTTTCTTTTTTTTTTTTCTTTTATACCTTTTTACCTTTTTTTTTCCCTCTATACCTTTCTTCCTCTCCATCTAATGCTGCTCATTCTCGCACTTCAAACTACTTTTCCAAGTTGCACTGTGAAGTATTAATTACCTTTTCAGAGAAGCTCCTGGACACCACAAATGCTAACTGTGTCATGCAAAACATTTTAATAAGTTTCTTACCCTTTGTAGTGGGTTGACCCTGACTGGACACCAGGTGCCCACCAAAGCTGCTCTATCACTTCCCCTCCTCAGCTGGACAGGGAAGAGAAAACATAACAAAAGGCTCGTGGGTCACTTACCGGTTACCATTATGGGCAAAACAGACTTGACTTGGGGAAAAATTAATTTAATTTATTACCAATAGATTAGGATGATGAGAAATAAACCCAAATCTTAAAAACCCCTTCCCCTGCCCCCCTTCTTTCTGGGCTCAACTTTGCTCCTGATTTCTCTACCTTCTCCCCACAGCGGCACAGGGGATGGGGAATGGGGGCTGTGGTCAGTTCATCACTTGTTTTCTCTGCCACTCCTTCCTACTCAGGGAGAGTACTCCTCATACTCTCCTACTGTCATGCATTTAGTTGACCTGACCTTGCAACTCTTATAGTCAAAGAAAATCTAATTTAGTGGACACAGGAGACTTTGTACTTGGAAATAAACTTCTCTCCCTATTGTATAATAAATCAATACAAGGATTAATGCCAGCCTTTATAAAACAAAAAACAAAAGTATGCAGCTAATTAGATTAAGCTAGTCTAGTCCTACTGTTTAAAAAAGCATTTTGCTGGATATCACTTTCTCCACTGAATTTTTTTTAAAAAACAACTTCTACAAAGAATTATAGGAAGCATGCTTAAAACAGAATGAAGCCAGAAAATCGTTCTTTACCTTCTAGAATTACAGAAGGCAGGAAATCCCTGGCTCTTGTTGTGGAAAATGTGTGCCAACGTCTTGTGGCATCAGGTTAAGAGATGGAAGGCTTAAGGATGTTCAGGTAAGTTTTAAGCACTCTTTCTTTTATTTATGAGTAAATGTAAATTTAGCGCAGAGTTCTGGTGAACACAAGGAAAGTGCATTTTTTTCTCCCTTTCTGGGTAGGCAGCATGGTATTACTAGTGCCTTTTATTTAATATCTCAGAATGGTTTCTCAGTAAAGTTCTTTTTGTTGTTGTTTTTTGTAAATGAAAAAAGGAGACTTCATACCACAGTGCAAAATTCCAGAGGGAAATTCTAGATGCACCTGCAAGCATTAATATTGTCAAGGAACTTTAACTGGAAGATGAGCTCAGACAACTACTTAGAGAAAATTAAAAACCTAATTTTAAATGGGAAATGGATAGTTTAAGTTAAAAATATGACTTTTTAAAAATTTCTCCAGCATGATAGATCCTTAAACAGGAGTGGATATTTTTTCTGGTTAGAACCCATCATCTTATCTTAAGAAACAGCACGTAACATTTTATTTTATTCCATTCGTAAGCTAATTTTTGGATGGGGAGAGTATGGGAAGAGCAATGAAGCTAGTGAAGGGTCTAGAGAACAATTCTTATGAGGAGTGGCTGAGGAAACTAGGGTTGTTTGGTCTGGAGAAAAGGAGGCTGAGGGGAGACCTTATAGTTCTCTGCAACTACCTGGAAGGAGGTTGTAGCAAGGTGGGTATCAGTCTTTTCTCCCAAGTAACAAGTGATAGGGCACGAGGAAATGGCCTCAAGTTGCACCAGGGCAGGTTTAGGTTGGATATTAGGAAATATTTCTTCACTGAGAGGGTTGTCAAGCTTTGGAATAGGCTGCCTAGGGAAGCTGTTGAGTCACCATCACTGGAGGTGTTTAAAAGATGCATAGATGTGGTGCTTAGGGACATGGCGTAGTGGTGGACGTGGTAGTGTTAGATTAACGGTTGGACTCAAGGGTGTTAAAGGTCTTTTCCAACCTAAATTATTCCATGTGGGGATGTGGGTGTGGTTTTATGTCTTTTTTTTAAAGAAGCTTGCAACCCAGACAGAAATTAAATATTCATGCATATGTGTCTTTAAAAGACAAGTCATAGGCCAAACTCCCAAGTTTCTCACTTAGACAAGTTTCCCTTTTAAGTTAATGGAAATTTCTTCCCTATTAAGAGCTGAAAAAGGTCAGGTTTTGGCAGTCTTGACTGAGCTGTAATCAATATGGCTATGGAAGTAAATAGAAGATTATTACTTTGTTGATAAACTGTTTTGTTAACTAAAGATTTCCATCTTTTATAAAATTCGCACCATGGTACATTAATTGAAATATCAGTAAAGGAATAGACAGATTGTACAGTATCCTGAAAAGTTACTGTCCCATGTTGTTTCTGTGTAAAGCTAACAGGCCTTAAATTTTTACAGCCGAATGAATCACTTCAGGATGGCTGTGATAGTCATGCCTGTAAAGTAAACGAGAAAGGGGAATTTATCTGGGAAAGGAGAATCACTGGCTGTCCTCCGTTTGATTCCAGACGATGTTTGGCTGAAGGAGTAAGTAATGAAATGGGTCCTATTTCAGGTTTCCTAACAGAATCTGTCATGTTTATGGTTCTGTATATAGGTACCTTACATGTATGAGGGTGGGAAACCCCAGCCCTCTCCCAGCACCTTAGCTAAACTGAATTTGAACTTTCTTTGAAATTCAGAAAAATGTTAAGTTTTCTTTATTTTGAAATACCTACTGGTTTTATGTGGGACTATACTGCAGGGGAGATGCTGAGCTTGCAGAAATTCTCTTCCATATGAAGCGGCAAACATAAGAAAATGGTTGTTCTAACAATGTTTTCAGTCTGGTATCCAGAGCAAAACCCCCTTTTTTTTTTTTTAATATGCATATGAAATGCTAAGACATTTTTTCTCTACCCTCATATGAGTTTAGGGAAATAAATTTTCACAGTGCTGTAGAAGAGCTGAAACTTTCACATTTGCAGTTTTTTGGTATAATGCCATAATAAAAACCCCACTCGACATGTTCACCCATCTTTCCTGTGATTTGAGGTTAGCCACACACCCAGGAACAGAGAGCAGGTTGGGGTGTAGCACGTGGGGTCCTGCTTTTGCTCATCTAGGATGACACAGGTGTTTATATCCACCTGTTCCCATTTTCTTGGGCATGAGAGGAAGCAGGAAACCTTTAATAAATCTTGTGGCCAAACCTCTCTCTACAAACACATCAAGCAAATGGAGGATTTGATATGCATATTGCAAGGAAGAATAAAGCTTCTGCAGTGCATTTCTCACTTTGTGAAATCACTGGAGCACACACAGCTTTGTTATACAAACAAAGATTTAGAAAAATCCTGGATTATGTTACAGGCTTGGGGTTATTATCATGTTCTAAAGGTCTTCATTGAAAATCAGTGACAAATAGTTTACTTTTTAACTGGAACTTCCCAAACAGCACTTATTCTCTTCCCATCCAAAGAAAGAGATGTTTCAGCTATAATATTAGTGCTTTTCATCTCATTGCAGATGAAAAGTTTAGGGGTTTTAACTTAAAAAGCTTTCAAACTTTTGCATGTAAATTCAGGTGTTTAGTGCAATAAAGACATCACCCTGCAGTATAAATATTTCTCCATTTTTCTATGGGTTTCACTATGGGTTTTCAGTGGTTTTCCACCCTATATATATATATATATTTGAGAATTATTTTCCATGTGGTAGTAATGAAACAAGAAAAATAATTTTTTTGGCTGTTAAAGCTTATTTGACAGATGTGATATTTTATTATGATTTGCCTATACATTTTCAGCTGTTGTGGAATACGCATGGTTTCATCTATATTGCTAAAAAAATCAAGAGGGACTGGTAAAGTTCCTTTCTTAAACAGACATAAGACTTGAATGCTATTGGTTTTATCATTCTGTTTCTCAAAAATTTATTTATATTTAATATCTTTATTTTAGAAAGCTCCAAATATAAGGTGAAAGCAGTCTCTTCAGGAGTTGAACTTGCTAATATGGTTAATTATTTCCAATTAGCTATTGACAAATACAATCACAACTTCAAAACCTTAAAAAGGATAAAGAAATTATTGCTAATATAGATTTATATTTTTGTACAATATAGAAATACATTTTTATTGCCTAATACTCTGTTTTAAATGTCCCTTTGCCTTCTTTCAGCAGAACAAATGCTTATTAATTGTGCCAAAATAGAAGTTTTATTTTTTTATTGTTTTAGGGCAGAATTGCAAAGATTGGCACTACCTGCTGTGACACATGTAAGTAAATAAGCCAAAAGTCTTGCATGGAAATTGCAGAGTGTAAGCTACTGGGTAAGGAGCTATTTTTTTTTGCATAACATGCAGTTTAATGAAACAGAGCTAAGCAATGTGGTTAAAAGAAACCATTGAAAAAGTCCACTCTCTGATTGGGCTACTGCTGTCCTGTTTTGTCTACTCAAACGCATGTTTTGACAGTATTCACAAGTGCTTAGAAAGAAATAGATACTCCCCACATTTTATGCAGATGTTAATTATGAATGTTTTATTTTATTGTTCATCTAAAGATAACAGGAACAGTATTGTACACACAGGTTGACAAGTCACATAACCTGGTACTGAACATGTGAAGCAACCACTTAATAAATAATCAATGAACTTAAAATTAATTTAGCAAAAAATACCCTGGTGGCAGTAATGTAATTTTGGTTGGTTTTCAATAATGTAATAACCAAAAAATGGTAGGGGAAATATTTGTCAAAGGTGCATTCCTATTGAACAGCTGGACTGAATCTTAAATTTGGCAGGTTAGGAGTCGGTCCTGCAACTCTTGATTTCATGAATCATTGTGTAGCTAATCCAAATGTCAGTCAGGCTGTGAGAGTAGGAAGGGTTTGCTTACATTAGGAAGTATTGCAGGGTTGGGTTCTCATTTGTAAAATGAATCTCTGATGCTCTTGTGAACAGACAACCTATCAGTTTTCCCCTTTGTAAGTAAAACATTAATAATACCGTAGCTCACTTAAAATAGTAATAAAAAAAAACCAACAGAAGATTGATATTCTCTTTTAAGGTCAGAATATCAACATCTTGCCTGTGTTCCATTATCTCTCTCTCTTTTTTTTTTTTTTCTATACATGTGCTAATAAATAAAAGATGGCCAGCATAGCAGCCCATCATCACACTGGCACAGTAACTACTGTAATAATACCCCTGATGAGGGATGTTAACTCCTAGAAAGTTTGCAGCCATTGCCTGTCTGTATAATCACTGAGCTCCAGTTTGAGAAATATAAGTCAGAAAGCTATTGAGGTAGACTGTCATCAAATGGCTCAAACAGGTAATTCAGTTAAGAGACCGTTAATCTACCAGGCTTCAAGTAAGGAATACTGAAAATTATTTATTAACAACAACAGATTTTAAGCTTTAAAAGACAGGGTGATGTAGCAGGCTCTACTAATTGAGAATGCCTATCACTGCAATTGAGGAGAGAAGGAACCCAGTTCCAAATGAACACAGGTCAATACATATATTTGTTGAGCAGCTACAGTGATATAAAAGTGACACCTCCTTGCAGCAGCTAAAGCAAACTGATCTAAGGGAAACACCACATGCCTAAAACCACCCTTGTTGTACGGGCCTTCAGATCTTTATTCACATTGATGTTTGCTTGGATGTAGCTCAAAACTGAAAAGTCCCCTATTATAGTGCAGTCCTATTCCTGGTCACGTCTCTATTCAGGGCTTTTCATAAGGGAAAAGCTAACATACTGCACCCGGACAACTAACCATGGATTTTCAATTGAAGGACAGTGATTAACACATAGCTTTGAATCAGACAGATACTTCTAGGTACCAAACTCTCTTTCTCTGTCTTCTGTATTTATATGTTTTTTCCAGGGCACTCAGTAGCAGCATGCAGTCTGTTACACATGCTACAGGGGACACCAAGGCTTGGCAAAGCTACTATAAAACCAGTGTAATTTAATTATTCTTAAAAGTCAGATAAGAGAATGCTCAGTTTCTCAGGGACACAGAGACTTAGATACAGGTTACATTGCCTTACCAGGTCTTGAGAGAGTTTGTCTTTCAGACATCTCAATAGCATAAAGGATTGGCCAAAGAACTTCTATCAAGTTCAAAGCACAGTTCAGGGTGATGCCTTTGGTTCATTAGAGTCCTACGTGTCTGAGCAAAGGTTGTTTAAGAAGCCAGTTTCCCTGTCTATGTTATGCCTTGGCACATGGAGTTTGTTAGGGTGTCTGAAAGCATTGTTCCAGGTTTTAAGTACGTAGCAGCACATATGTGAACAGGGTTATTTTCTCATTAGATTTTTGTGGTACTAGCAAAGGACTTCATTATTTGCAAAGGATGTTCCACATTTTCCTTCTTAACAAAGAAGTTGCATCTTCACTTCTTGCCTTTTTTTCCCGCATTGAACTCAATTGCATATTTCAAGTTATAAGCACTTGCCTTTGCAAAGTAGGCACAGTCTACAGAAAAGGTAAATAAAATAACTTGACAACAAGTCAATAAATCAGGATCAAAAAGGTGATGAAGCTGTGTTAAGTCTGATGACAATAATTTTGTTTGTGCTTTTCAGTTGTGCGGACACAATTGTGTATTCCTTCCAGGTGGACAAGTTTTATCAAATGAAATGATGAAATCATGAAAAGAGAACTGGCAGTTAGCAGAAACACTTTTCAGGCCTTTTTTTTTTTTTTTAATTATTTTTTAATGAAATGTAAAGCCTTAGCAAGGCCCAGAGCCAATTTGGTACTAACATTCCCCTGGAAAAGGTATTGAAAGCTATGTTTGTTGCCAAAAAATAGATAGATTTCTCTTCAGTTTATGTATCTACTTAGTTGTGCAGTTGCCCAGTGGAATTCCTTCAACTCTCTGAAATGCTGTTGCATAGTACATAAAAAGTAAATACAGAAATTCCATTGGCTAGCTAAAAATGAGTAAAAGTAAAAGCCTGTCTTTAGACAGAGCCATAACACTATACTAACACTACAAAGAACTGCTGTTTGCAGTGCATAAAATATTGACTTAAAAAAAACCTATTAGCTCCTTCACAGGTTTTTAGATATGAACCAAAACAGACAAGAGTGTTCAGAACAAAATATTCTGCACTAGTCTGTATTTGAGTGTGTCAATGGTGAGGTTCCCTTTGAAAGTGGAGAAGAGTCACTGTCAGCTACCGCAGTTAACAGATCATAGCAAAACAACCTCACTTCACAAAGAGGGATGAGCAGATTCCCTGAGCTTGCACCCTCCACACATAACAAATCCAGGCCTACTGCCTCTTGTGAGGATTTCTCATTAGATGGGAAAAAAAAAACAGTGAGAATTTACCTAACACTAGGAGCAATAAGTATTGGAAAACAAGTATCAGAGTATTTAATGACTTACTGAAAACAGTGGAAAAGTTCCCATTGACCCAAAGTTAGACTTTCACAGAATTAGTTTTCTATTTTTTTTCCTAGTTTTTCTTTTTGCCATGTTAGTTTTCTGCAAAATCCACCACATGTGCAAGGACTCCTAGAAGTTGTCAAATCTAGGAGCCCAATAGAGGTGAGGCTGCCACAGCTCCATGTCCCTAGGTCCTGGCAACAGTGAGGCCAAGCATGTGTCCCAATAGGCACAGACACGACACATGTATGCAACATGCACGCACACATTCTTTATGTACACACAGAGAAACACTTAGTACTCTGGCAAACACAAACAGCACCCACATTCTCATCCTGATCTCCCCTCTGGGTGATCCGGATGAAGGTCCTTAGTAGTCTTAGGCATTCTGTCCGGTAACTGGTCTTGCATCCCTGCTAACCTAGACTCATGGGCCCTATGACCAGTGTTACAATTCCAGTTGCTGGCACTTACGTCTCCATACACGCACATCCACACAGAACAGAGTCCATCACCCAGGGCAAGTAGTTAGAAATGGAGTTTAATAACACAGGACAGACTGCAGTGATCAAATGTAGGGCAAGATCAGATGAAAGTACGGACCAGCAGCTTTTAAAAATGCAACCAGCGCCTTTTATGCCTTTATCCATCCATTTTCCCATGCTTGTTCTTCACCAAACCTTCCCCCACCTTTTGTTCCTTCCATAAAAATCTCATAAGTCTTGTAGAATTCCTAAAATGTTCTTCCTTAGCATCACATAAGGAGTCCCACGCAGTCCTGAAGGCAGTGACCCACCTCAATCTGTGAGGTGATCTGGTGAGCTGCTCCCACTGACTCATCTTGAAGGTCATAATCCCGAGACAAGGGGATCTCTGTCCTGTGACAGTCCCAGGAATAGCCAGGTCAAGAGTGCTCTGTTTCTCTGATTAGGGTATTGGGGTTTGCATGTGTGTAAACTTTTTCCTGTTGACCTACTTGACCAATATACCATTGAACTATCTTTAAAAGGAGAGTTATCTAACTCAGAATCCAACAGGTAAAAGGCAAACATTAGGTGGCAAGTTGACTTTAAGACAAAGCAGTCAACTGAAAAAGGAACACGAGAGAAACCTTGCTCTCCAGTGGAATTTTAGGGCTGTAGTGTGATATAGTCACACAGCTCTACACTGATTACTCTAAAGAGACACACCCAATTCTCTTGCTAGGAATCTTACCAGTAATGACATCTCACTAGCAGCAATCTCAATAATAAGGGGAAAGGAATTTAAAAAAAGCAATTGTCAGCACTCTCAAACACTTTTTTTTTTTTTTTTTTTTTTTAAACTTGGTAGCGACCAGTAAGTACCAGACTGCAATACAGGAGCATCAATGGATGTGCGTCTGAAAGGGAAGTGCCTATTTCTCATTGTGAGGTAAATAACAAAAGCAACTCCCTTGCCACATCCTGCGCTTGCCTCCTTTCTCTCTTCCATAAGGGAAACATTCACTACAGCTTCACTTCAGTAGGTGGAGCACCAGTTTCTGTCCTCCTCATTGCTTCACTCAAGCAGTGTAAACCTCACTGGCACTTATTTCCTAAAGTAATTTGGTGATGCTGAATTTTCCCTATTCAAGTCAGCATGAAAAAAGGCACGTGTTAGACACAAAGGCTTTGTTTGGACCACTCTCCTTTGCTTCCATCATAAATTAATGACTCTTAAGTGGCTTTTTTAGGAGTTTCTACATAAAAAAAAAAAAAAATTTTACATCTTAGTGAACCTGATTTTCAGATCTGAGTCTACAGTTAAGCCCACATATCCCTCTTCAGGCTCTGAAGTTGGTTTATGAGAGTGTAAATAAGTATTTACGTGCATGATACTTTAAATGTATTTTAAACTTGAGCAATATGAGCAAACTTCCGTGCTGTATAAACTCTATGACTCCTCTATTAGCCTGAGCACTAAGCTGTTGTGTTGTGCATACTTTGTGTGTTTCTTCCATAATCTGATTAAAAGTTTTCATTCCTGCCCATCACTGCTTACACCTTATAGGGCAATTTCAATTTCAAACAGGGGCATGGCTGTTTTTCCAGGGCAGTCATTTTGCTATGCAGCCTCCTCACTGCCCTAAGGATCTTGAACTCTAGCATTTCATGGTCACTGAAGCCCAGGCTGCCCTTGAGCTTCACATTCCCCACCGGCCCTTCCTTGTTGGTGAGAACAATGTCCAGCATAGCACCTCTTCTTGTTGGCTCCTCTGTGACTTGGAGAAGGAAGTTATGATCAACGCACTCCAGGAACCTCATGGCTTGCTTATGCCCTGCTATGTTGTCTCTCCAACAGATATCAGGGTGGTTGAAATCCCCCATGAGGACCAGGGCTCATGAACGCAAGGCTGCGCCTATCTGCCAATAGAGGGTCTCATCTACTCGCTCTTCCTGGTGTGGTGGCCTGTAGCAGACCCCCACTATAATGTCCCTGGTCCCTGCCCTCCCTTTAATCCTGACCCACAGGCTTTCAGGGAGGCCATACATGCCCATGCCTTTTTTTTTCTTTTTTTTTTTTTTTTTTTTTTGATTGAGGGCATATATGCCCATGCTTTTCAGATAGCTACCTGGTAAAGGGTCTTCATTTGCTACTCTAGTCGTAATAACAGCGGAAGCTTGAAGAACAACAACAAAACTGCTTACCTCTCATTTAAAAAAAATTAAAACAACAATAATAATAAACAAATTCTTGACCTCTTGTCCTGTCTGCAAAGTCAAGGATAATCAGGTCCTTAGCTATGAAGTCAAATGTATTGAAGTTTCCACTGCAAAAGTACAGGTTTTGTATTGTGAATATGGCCATATATTGAGTAAAGCAAATACTCCTGCTATAGCTGTGTCATGCTAATTTAACCCCAGCTGACAACTAAGCACTACTCAGCTGCTTGCTCAGTGCCCTCTCCCAACCCCCCCCAACCCCTGGTGGGATGGGGGAGAGAATCAGAAGAGTAAGAAAACTTGTGGGTTGAGATAAATACAGTTTAATAAGTAAAGCAAAAGCTGTGCACACAAGCAAAGCAAAACAAAGAATTCACTTCCCATGGACAGGCAGGTGTCCAGCCATCTCCAGGAAAGCAGGGCTCCATCATGCGCAGTGGTTACTTGGGAAGACAAACATCATCCCTCCGAATGTCCTCCCCTTCCTCCTTCTTCCCCCAGCTTTATATGCTGAGCATGACATCATATGGTATGGAATATCCCTTTGGTCAGTTGGGTACAGCTGTCCCAGCTGTGTCCCCTCCCAGCTTCTTGTGTACCCCCAGCCTACTCGCTGGCGGGGCGGTGTGAGAAGCAGAAAAGGCCTGGACTCTGTGTAAGCACTGCTCAGCAATAACAAAAATTTCCCTGTATTATCAACACTGTTTCAAGCACAAATCCAAAACATATTCCCATACTAGCTAGTATGAAGAAAATTAACTCTATCCCAGCCAGAACCAGCACAAGCTGGTATTGAGTACAGTTTTTCTGAAGTTGTCCCTGATAATGCTATGCAATTATTTTGTGTTAATCTCAGAAATAAGGACACAGAGCCATTGAAAGAAATGGACTCTGTCAGAGTTTAATGTTGGGCCATTTGTTTTTACATCATGAAAGCTTATAGCTGCAGGCATTGACGACTCGGTCTAAATTAGTAAAGTGGCCAGACAAGTAGAACAAGGAAAAATAGCAACAAGCAGGACAAGAATGGGTGTGTGGCTTGCAACATTTGGGCTAAAGCACTTTCTGAATGCATGATCTCATATAGCTGAGACTATAACAATATGTGCTTAGAAGCCAACACAATAGCCCTGGACATCACCAATGAACTTTTAAATTACAGGCTTTTTTTGTGTGACCCGTTTCTTCATCTCTCCTTTGCTATGCTTATGCTCCTAAGACAGCCCCCCACACTCTGGAGTCAGATACCTGTTTCTGAGTTCGTGTTTTACAGCAGAGCACTGAACTCCAGGCGAAATTGTCCGTGGATGTTTTGAAGGGAAGAATCTAGATTCTGATTGCACCGAGTTCTGGCACTGTTCAAACTTGGTATCTCTTTTTTCCATTTAGGGCAAGTGCAGAAGCAATACCAGATACTCTGTTGAGACAGGGAAATGGGAAGACTTTTGCAGCTGCTGTACAGCCACTCAAACAACCATAGTCACAATCCCCCTCCAGTGTCCCAACGGCACAGTGGTGCAGCATTACATCCCTTCTGCCTCTCAGTGTGAATGCTATTCTCGGAAGTGTACAGACTGAATATTTCCAAGAAGCCTAGTTGTGTAATCTCAAGTTTTATGAGGAAGGATTTTTACAATGAAAACCTCATTTTCTTTCTGTAGACTGCTTTATCCAATAGAATCCTGACTAACTAATTGTATCAAAATGGCAAACAATAAAACTTACTAGCACAACAGAGCATTTTCTGATTATTCTTGGGGTTGTTTATAGATAAGATCTTGTAGATTGTATTGTTCTCTTTCATCCTCAACATGGAAAATAATCCACATTATTAAAAAACAAACAAAAAAAAAAGCAAAACTACAACACAGTAACAGAAACAGTTGCTTCTACTTAAAGGACATATCCCAAAGCATTTAGCATTGCCTTCAGCGACATTACACTTGCATTCCCCACTTCAGACCTTAGTGACACACTGTGGGCTTTTAGGATTTGTTTTTTGGTTTTGTTTTTTTTTTATCCTCCAGTCAAGGAGTACAGTAATTATGGAGTAAGACTTCATGGTAAGAGTGATGTTCTTGGTACACAAACAATACTGGTTATGGCTCAGGCAACAAATACCTTTCTGAAATGCATATACATGTTCCTCCTGATGCTGCATGCAATGAAATTGTGTGCTGAGGACAGGTTGTGTAACTTCTGTAAGTCCTCAGTACTTGTGAATGTGCTGAGGGACAGCTTTTTACCTATTTACTTCAGCACTTCCACATACCAACTTGAAGAGAAAACTCATCACTAATCTCCCTTATTTCCAGGTATCAGAACTTCATCTATTGTATTAGCTACAAAAGTTATAGTTCTTTCAAATGCAGAATTGTCAGTGGCAAGTTTAATTTAATTACTGCTGCCAGGGATAAACTTAGCAGGATTTAAATTCCACTTGGTCTGGTCAGGCCATAGAAGACAAAAAGATTTTCCAGAGGGCTGTTGGTCATGGTGAAATGTAGTGCTAGTCAAGCAGTTTCACTGAGAAGTACTATTTTCTCAAAAAAACATGAAAGAGGAAAACCTGTTCATTATATTTGAATATTTGAAAGACAAGAAATATTTAAACTTCTTGTTGAATTAAGCTTTTAAAATAATATTTATAATTCAGATATAGGAGGTGTATTAAAAACAAGTAACAAAATGTGACCCCAGACTTTTCATATGTTTGTGATGTAATCAGTAAGGCTTAGGAATAGGTTATGGGTGAAAAAAAATCATAGTTTATCCAGCTCTAGCAGAAGTGTTCTTGAAGAAGTGAAAAGCATGGATAGAAGTCCTGAAGGGTAAGAGTGCTCCTTAGAAACCTAGCAGAAAAATTCAGGAAATCAGGTTGTTCTTGTGCAGTTTTTAGGTTGGCATCTGTAGAAATGGAAAGCTTTTCAGAGTAGATTGTCACCATTGCCCCTGGGCCACAGAGAGGAAAGTTCTGAGATGAAGACCTAATGCTCCTCACATGAATGCCAGTGTCACATGATTAAATGGGTCAAAACACCTCCCCATCTGCATGAATAGCTCCCTTTGGGAGCAAACACAAACTCCCTCTGTGCTTTCAACTAAAAAGGCAAGCTGTATTCCTTTTTGAGAGGAACCAGGCAGATCCCTGCTTCTTCTCTTTTGCCATTCAGCTATGGATTCAACACAGATTGAATTGTGAGCCCTATTTTCCCTTATTATTAATTCAAGACATTCTCTGTTCCTGGACAGTGCTAGAAGAAGTGCAGGCCTTCTGTGCATCTCTCTTACTTCTGATGTGGGACCACAATAACCCCAGGGAGAGAACCCAAATTTTAATTGGCACCAGCCCCACTTACTGCAGTAGATCTCTGCCACCAGTTTTCCTCCATCCTTGCACTAGCTCTTTGTTGCTGTTGACTCTGGATACTAAGCTTCCTAACAGTTGGATTTGGGTCTCACGGCAGCTAACCTGGAGCTGCAAATAAGCAACTCCTGAAACAGTAGCCTGCAACATCGAAGAGGACCAGAGAAAAGCATTGGATAGATGGTAAAAGGCAATCTCTTTCTCTTCCCCTTACCATCACTGGACTGCCCCTTTGTTTCCATTGGTGCCCTCACCCAGACTGACCTTTCTTAGCTCATGAAAGCTGACAGGATTGCAGCCTAAAGCTTCATGGCTGCGGACAGGTCTTCTAATCAGATAATTGCATAGCTTAACGGCATGGGGAGGACACAAAGGAGCATCCATAGGATAGAGATGGAGCACAGTTTTCTGAACTTGTGAAAAGCAGACACGCACAGCTAGTATTTTCCACCAGCAACAAAGTGGATGGACAGATCTGACCAACAGAAGGGCAAATATTCCTGCTTTCTACCTCTGCCTCTTTCTACATCTACCTCAATTAGCAAGGAAAATCTTGTGGATCTAGGTGTCGAGAAACAGACTGAAATAAACATATTGTCTTTCAGACTAGAGCAATTAGTATTTTTCCTAAGGAACTCTAGATTATTTTATTAGAAAACTGCTTGGTTAGGGGATCAAACCCACAACAGACATAGCTCAGTCTAATTGGATAAGCAGAACTGTATTAAGACTTTACACCGGTTCAAGAATGTCTCATACTACATGGCTTTTCTCCACCTTCCTTGGTTGCAATTTTGCTTTCAGGCATCTATGCCAGTATATGGACTAAAGTGGGTGGACAGTACATTGCAAGAGAACTTACTGGTTTTCTTACAGAATAGAGTTCTGTGGACTTCTGTGTGGTCTATATGTTATTATTCAGGCTGGGCTAGTGCCTATATATTCCCAGCAAAGACAAGGCCCTGTTGTGCTCAAGGCCAGGATGAGCTTCTTCCTTGAAAATCATGTCACAGAAACAGAAAGACAGGGAAGAGCAAGAAGAAGGGAATATTATAATGTCTCCCTTAATAGACTGAGAAGGTACATATTTTTTTGGCCTTGACCTGCTGACGTGAGAATCAAGCTTTTTCAGGCAGCTTGCCCCAAAACAGCTGTCTTTCGTTTAAGTCTCTGGTGGTGCCAGTAGGCAATGGGCTTGGACATCCTCCGTGCAGGTCTCAATTGCCTTTCGCACAGCCTGGTTTCACTTAGTGCACCTTTGATATTTTCAGAAGCATTCTTTCCTGGCAGAAGTGAAGAACAACATCAGGCCTGGAATCAAGTACCTGCTTAGAGAGCTGTGTACACACACAGTAGCAGTGTCCCAACACATCAGACAGTGCTGTACATCAGCCTGCTCCATTAACACTCATCAGCAGAATCCAGGCTTGGGGAACATTGTCTTTCAACTTGTACATACTGCTTGTGATTCTTGATGGTTTTGAGATACCTTAGTCTTTTCCTTTCCACCCATGATTCGCAACGCATCTCACCACTTCAGAAGACTGGCTGGATTGTTGAGAATGCTACAGGATAGATTTATAGGAATGTTAAATGGATTTGGGGAGGAATCTTATATAACTTCTTAATTATTAAAAGCATCTAATCTCTCTTCTAACTTTTACAGATTTACAAGCACCCCTTCTCTACAGCAGGTGAAACACAATCTGGTATATTGGCATTATTTGTCACAGCTCTGCATTATCAACTAAAACCATACCCAGATACCTCTGGAAACACAGTGATGTCTGGCTATGATTTTGTCTGTTGGAAGGTGTCCTTAAAAATAGACTGCAGACCCAGCTCCATTTTAACTAGCTGGATGTTGCTTCCTCCTCATATTGCCTCCTGTGTATATTATTTATTACCTGAGGTGACTGTATCACCTGTAATGGACCCACCCTATGGCTTATAGGAGCTAGTAACTTGAACCCATGCAGGCAGAGCTTTTTGTCCACAGGGATCCCATCAGGACCTGGCTCTATATTCCTATATTATTCCAAAATGAGGGGGTACCTTTCTGGTTTAGCATTTAATTGGTGCAGCATATGATATGGATATAAAATAGCATTATTTCCAGCAAGTTTTCATTCCTCTCTCACAGTGATAAGTGTATACAAAGCAGTAGGTCTCCTGCCTATCTAGGGAGCAGATTAATTGGTTATAAAACAATAAGGCAAAAAGCAGTTCAACAGTTGCTTCCCTTGGAGTATTTTCTGATCCCACTTTATTAGCAAAAAAAATACCAGGAGCTCCATGTGATTGCACCACTGCCCTGTGCCAAGTAAGCATGAACTACGTTGAGATCTGTGCAGCTGTGGACATTGGAGCAAAGCAATCAAGCAAAGAGCAGTTCTTGAGTTCAAATGGATGGGGTGGTTATGCAACCAAACAAAATTTCAGGGACATGACCTCAAAAGTTAGTTACATGGGCTAGTGTACAAACAAAAGCCTGTATGAAGTAGCATCCCCTCTGCAAGAGAACGTACACACAGCAATTGGGAACATGAGGTTTTTTAAAATATTTTTTTTTCATGTCTGAGATCTAACAGTTTTTAGAGTAGTCAGTCCAGAAACTGTGGTATCCAGGTTGTTCTCTTCTTTGTAACTGGAGGCAGTTTCTAAATGAAGTTCTGAGAAAAACATAAAATACTAGCAGGGTAAGAAGGACAAGTATTTGATACCTATTGATACATTACTTAGAAATTAGGAAATGACATTCCACAGGAGAGATAAGAAGAGGGGGGTGATTTAACTTTTCCTATCTGGAGACATTTTTCTATGTGTACACTAAAGAAAGTCCTAAAAATGTATCCTGTAACATTTAATGTAATGAGTGCACAAAGAAAGACCTTATTATTACTTTTCCACTTTTTGTCAGGGGTAAAATGTGGTGCAGAAGAGTTTGACTGACCAGTATAAAGCTGTTAAAGATGGAGTCAGGGCTCCTGACCCCTCTCCTTTTTAAGTAAAATCAGGCATATAACACATAAAATTTCTTGTGTGGCACTTCAGTTGAGCCAAAGTAAACAGATGAACACAATCTAATTTAATCTCATTCTCTTTGGTCTGCCTATAGCAGTTTCAGTAAAAGGGCAACTCCTCAGTGAAAATTTCTTCAGAGTTTAAACCAGCACATGTATTTCTCAACTGGGAAAGTTTTACGACACCCAGCCCAAGTCTGGGACGCAACAGCCACACTGCTCCCTGTATAAACTCGGTATCTTTGATACATTAGCCTCAGTGCATCAGTACATCTCTCTGTGA